GCGTGTCCAAAACAGCAGGTGCTGTCAAGTGCAAGCACAACAGACCTCCCTTGACATGAAAACACACACACACACACACGGTTAGATGCTCATGTGTCGCTATAACACACAATCATTCACACGCCTTTGTTGACTCTTTACATTCACTGAATTAAAACGAGCATCTGATTGTTGCGTGTTATGTCTCCGTATTTAGATTAAAGTGTTTTGGTGTAGATTTAACACATGGCCTCACCTCAGGACACTCCATTCTCAGCCAGCGGGGTTTACGTGCACACACGTGACGAGAGCTGAGGAAACGGAATGAAGACGGCAATTTCTGTTGTTTTTTGGATCAAAGTTCTAATGAGTTCAAAAATATTTTGGGAATTTTTTTATGTCTTTTATTTTGTTTGAATGCACATTTTCCGTCTCTCGTCTTCCTTTATCCTGTCTCACTCTCCGTCTCGCTCTCTCTGTCTGTGTGTGTTAATAAATTTAGCAACACCACATCATTCGCTGCACTGACTTCATTAACTCTCACAGCATGAGGCTCCAGTGACGGAAGGATAAAAAGCCCAAACACGCACACACACACACACACACACACACACACACACACACACACACACACACACACACACACACACACACACGCGCACACACACACACACACACACGGCAACGCATGTATAACTGATTACAGTTTACTTCATCACACTAGCGTATCTGTGATTCACTATATATTCTGATTAGACTTCTCTCCAGCTCTTTAGAGTTCAGCGTGGTGGCATTGATTCGTTTTGATCCTAAGAAACTCGATGAGCAATATTGCTAATGGGGTGGTCGGTAATGTTTGCAGCAGAACAAGCGTTAGAGAAACTTCCATAACACAAAAAGAAGGAAGTGAATGTTCAGTCTAGTTGCTTTGGGGAGTGGATGCTCCTGCTTGATGCTGAGAAGGTCTCAGAGTAGGCCAGGTGTGAGTCTCCATTTCGCTGGGCCATTTCAGGGACCAACCAAGTACATGCATGGGGATTTTTACTTAAAAAAGGCCCCTTTTAGTGACTGGGTGGGGCTTTTGTTAAGCTCATGCTGATTGGTTGTCAATCCGTTGGAAAGGAAGTCGCAGACGTCACTAAAAATCCAATATTTGTAAAACTGAAGTTGCTGGTGAAGCAAAATGGAACAAAAAGAAGATAAGCGGAGTTCTTACAGCTTTAAAATAGCAGTTTCTGAACCCCCAATGCAGAAAAAAGCGTTAGAAATTCCCCCATAAAGCCGTAATGTATGCTGCTTTGTGGTCACTTCTGGTCTTTAAACACCGCTTTTTGCATCACACAAATGCTCTCCCGTTCCTATCAATAGATTAAGTTAGAGCGTACTTTGACTAAAAAAAACTTTTAAAAATTATGAATGTCAGTGGGCACCTTTTGGAGCTGATCAGTGACATCACTCACTGCCAAAACAGCCACAATACGCCGATGTATTAGCAAGTCCTAAAAGGGCCGATGTCGTATGGAGACACAACAGCTGAGAGGATCGAGCCGTCGTATTTTCCCCCATCACCTTAACTCCTCCCAGAAATTTCTCGGAATTCCTGGAAACGCAGCAATCGTCGAAGAATCAGAAATGGCAGGAGGGCTCAGTGATGTTAACTAACGATTACAGATCAGAAAAGAGAGTTCACAAACACAGACTATTGTTTAACCAGGGATGTGTATTTTTGAAATTCTGGCGAAACGATACGATCACGATACAGGGGAGACGATACGATATATCACGATATATTGCGATACATTCAGTCAGACGTTACAAGCTATTTTTTTTTACAGAATTTATTGTAAGAATGTTCAATAAACAGTCCAAACTGATACGTAACATGTTTAACATGAGGTATCTGAACCATGATGGAGGGATTTACATTTCAATGGTGGAAACAAAACCTGTTGCACACTGCTGCCAACTAGCGGGTGGCGATTGAAGTGAACAAAACGAAAAGAAAATACACACACGTTTGCATGTAAATTCTTTCAAGAATTAGATACACAGCTTTTGAAAATCGATGTAATTATCGCAGGAAAAAATATCACGATATATTGCCATATCGATATTTCCGATACATGGCTTTTGAATATCGTTATAATATTGCTGGGAAAATATCACGATATATTGCCATATCGATATTTTCTTACATCCCTATGTTTAACACTGCATCTATAGGCTCATGCATGCCTCCTGCTCAGGACACCTTTGTAAAAGAGATCCTTGTTAAATAAATAAAAACAGTAATATTAATAAAAACTTATCAAATTTGTTTGTGGAGATTATGAGACAAACTGTGATCCATCACAGATTTGCCTCCCCCCCCCCCCCCCCCCCCCCCAAAAAAAATTATCTTCACCTTCGGGGGGGGGGGGGGGGGGGGGGGGGGGGCTTAGATGGATGCTTTGAAAGCTTCCATAAGGGTTAAAACTCCTATAGCAGCAGTGAAAATAATAATATGTACATACGTTTTTATTTGAATTATGCGTCTATACACATCTTTCAGCCCCATTAAATGAAAACAGAAATGGTGGGATCATGTGAAAACAAGAAGTGTGTAAGTGTGTGTTTCAGCTGCATGAAACTCTCCTGTGATGGTGTGTTTAGATGTGATTTAATGAACAGTAAATGCGTGAGAAGAGGACCACAGATTTTTCATTTTTAGAGCAGTCAGAAACTTTAATGGTTGATCTGATTATCTGAGTGTGTTGTTATTCCTCTGGCTTGTGTCACATGACTCGGACTGGAGCCAGACTCGATAAAATTAAACTCGATTGTTGACTTGGGTCTGTTGACTTGAAAGACTTGAGTTTTTTGACAGAGTGATCACAACATCAACTGGGAAGTGCACTGTCATCATTCACACTCATTAGTTTTGCTTTTGGTTCTACTAAATGGACACTAGGGGGTGCTAAAAGCAAGCCAAAACTGCCTAGCTTCCCTTTGAGTCAACTTGCGTTTGTTGTTTTTCTGTCCAATAAATGCACAGATTTAAAAATTACTTTTAGTTTTCTAACTTATAAAAATTGAATTGCAAAGCTGGTCAGATGACTTGTTCGTGATTGACTTAAACCTCTGCTGTGGTGCTTTTTTATGACCCAACACAAAGGAAACAGTGTAAACAGATTTTTAGAGTGGTTTTCTTTTAAGAAAAGGTTATATATAGTTATTATATTTCCTGTTGCAAAAAGCTCTTTGAACAACCTCAGTTTGGAGAAAAATAGATTCTAACAGTTTAAAGAGCTAGCAGCTAAGAGGTAGCCTGGCCTGCCAGACTCCTCCTCTTTCTTCTAAAGATGTTTGTGCTGTCACCAGACTCCATTTTTACTACAGCTAAAAAAAACTACTGCGTCACGGACGTCACACACAGCGATGCTCAGTTTCTCATAAACAACGAAGACAGCGGTGGAGTTCACTGCGACTCTTTCCTCTGTTCTAAATGACCCAAATGTCTTTACAACCACAAGTAGAAGCGCTAAAAGCATTCCTTAAAAAAATAAAAGATGTTTGCGCCGTTGCCAGACACTATTTTTTTTACTACAACTAGAAAACTACAGCGTCGTGCGGTACAGTCAGGATTTCCGTCTTTTTTCTGATTGACCATTTTTGAGCTGCCTAGTCCCGCCCCTCAAGTGCCTCTCTGCCTGTGAGTTACCAGATTCCTTCTCTGTGCAGAATTAAACTGAGGATGAGTGTGGCAGGCCAGGCTAGCTAAGGCCTAGTCCACACGTAGCCGTTTTTTTTCTTAAACGAATATCCGCCCCTCCAAAAACTTGCATCCACACCACCTTGTTTTAAAACACAACTCTGTCCACACGTACCCGGATAAATACGTTGTTAAGGACATGCCAGACCTGTAGGCGGCAGTACTTCCCCCGTTCTTAACCTCGTCCTTCGTCTGTGGTCTTCCGCAAGGAGCAGTAATTCCGCTTGCAAAAACAAACAAGCAAAAAGCGCTTGGACAATTGATAAAGCGAGCGCAGCTCTGAGGGCATCCATGATGTCGGCTAGCGTAAACACAGGTCGCACACGTGATGTCAGCATTTTTTTGTCGCGGAAAGTGACGTTGTGGACCTTAAAACTCCGGTTTTGTCCGTCCACACGCAGACACCCAAAACGGAGAAAACGCAGATCTTCACTTTGGCCGGAGTTTTTAAAAAGATCCGTTTTCGTGTGAAAAAACTCCGTTTTCGTGTGGATGACAGGCCAAAACGTAGAAAAATATCTACGTTTTGGCAGATCCCCGGCTACGTGTGGACAGGGCCTAAGAGGGGCCAACAGACCCAAGCAGATTTCTGTGTTCTTAATCTTTAAAATGTTAAAGCAGTTCATCTGAAAGTATTTTGCAGAATCAGCATCGTGTTTATTTAAGCAGCAATGTATTAATTATGCAGCAGAACAGAGAACCAGAATTTCTACGCTAGCTGCTGTTTGAGCTTGTGAAAAACACAGGCTCCTTGCCAACAATCATGTGAAATGTAAATGTAAATTGACAGAAAAAAATGTTTTTGAAAATGCTAATTTATTGACCTATTTCTACAGTTTGTCAGATTTCACTATCATTTGAAGTAGGCCGAATGTTTTATTGTCACTCGGGGTTCTTGCAGGTCCTCTTTTTGCATTTGATCAGAGCGCATTATTTTCTCAGTTACTTTGTCTATCAAAAGCAAATCTTATTTATGTTTGATATAAGCAGCACATTAAAGAACAGCGAGAAATCACAAACTTTGAGGTTAACCATGATTATTGAGTCATTTTCTGTCAGCTCCCTCGCTGGATCAGATTTCCTGCCGTGTCTGCTTTAGCTGCCATCGTGTAGATTAGACTCGTATCAGCTTGATACGACATCCACTCACTGCGAAGTGCTGAAGTGTTTTCTTGTCGTGACAACCCACGGTTATCAAACGCTTTACGGAAAACAGCTTTGTCTTGTATTTTTCGTACCACTAATCTCATCATTTTGTTTCCCCCCTCAGGTCAGTGTGTTGGAGCGTCAGGTGATAGATTTCTTGGGCTACCAGTGGGCTCCCATCCTGACCAACTTCCTACACATCATCATCGTCATCCTCGGGCTGTTTGGCACGATTCAGTTCAGGCCAAAATATGTTACCGGAGTGAGTTTTACACACTTACTCTCATTTGACACAGTTATTTTTAATGTGTGTGATTGTGTGTTTGCCAGTGTTGAAAACATAGGAACTAGCTTTAGCAACTTCTCAGACTCTCCTAGCATCCGCAAGAATTATAGATTCACCCATGCACCAATATTCACCATGACTTGCTTAATCTGTGGCAAATCTGAATCCATCCATCCATCCATCCATTTTCTGAACCCGCTTTGTCCACGTAGGGTCACGGGGGGAGCTGGTGCCTATCTCCAGCGGTCAATGGGCAATCAGGCGGGGTATACCCTGGACAGAGAGCCAGTCCATCGCAGGGCCAAAGCTGAATCTCAAAGCCTAATTAATAAATTTAAAAGTCAAATTCACTCACTTTTTCAATAAATCTGCAGTGGTCTCTAGTATCAATGAATGCCTTTTGAGTTGGTCTTTGTGGAAAAAAAAGCTCTGGCGCTCCTGTTTCAGGAAGTAGGAGTTCGTTGGAGAAGTGGGGGCTGGAAAACGTCTTGCTTCTGATTGTCTAACAGCAACATGACTCTTCTACTTTGTTTGCTCTTTTTTCTTAGAGAAGAAAAAAATGCTAATTAGATGTTTTTTTCTCCACAAATACCACAAGCCTGAACATGTTCCACCATGTTGTGGAGTTGCTAGTGCTAATATGTTAGCTTCTACTAGCAGAGACGCGCTCTGCTCTCTCCTGGCTGCAAAATCAAGACAGACCCCCCCGGTCGCACCCCAAGGTGGGCGAGGCCATGAATGCTAATTTTCCCTGTGACGTAGAAGACACTGGCTCTGGAATAAACGTGAACCACAATTTTTTTTTAGATTACCGCTATTCTTAATTTAGCCGCAATTCAGTTTGTCACTCAGACTAGCCTTCAGCTTATTAATCTCTATTTTTCCAAGCTGAGGTTGTTAAAAACTGTCTACACCAGCTACGATACTGGGTGTTTCTCAATGTCAAGGCGCCTGGCCTTGCGAAGCGACGTCTTGCGAGGCCAGGCGCCTTGTTTACGAGGACACTGTCCGTCCTTGGTCAAAGAAAATGGCTAAATGGAACAGACTAGCATCACGTAACCGCGGCTTTCACGGCACTCGCGTAACGTCACGTGACACGGGAGACAACATTATATTTTATACGTATAAGTTTCAATGTAAATATATAACGAGCCTTTTACTTTTTAAATTGTGTATAAATTTGTTAAATTAAATATATAAGTGAGTTACTACCTGCTAGCCACCGAAGCTGTAACTACTAAGCAACTAACCAATCACAGATACCTTCTTTGGATCTAAAAAAAACATTTGAAATTAATTTTCTTTTTTTTAAACTTGAAATTTGCCCCCAAAGTAGCTGCCGGCTTCTGATCCGCCATCCTTTTGAAAATACCGCGGTGTATTCTGGGTAATTTTTGACCAAGGCTAGGCTACAAGACACTCCCCGTGTATCCTTGCTCAGCTAGCTAAACGGCTAGCAAACGGAGAACACACGCCTCGGTAGAACATGAACATTGGAACACGTCTTGGCGGTTACTGATGACGTATCACCTAGGCAACCAGGGCGGGGCCAAGACATCGAGGCGAGGTTCCTTGAGATTGAGAAACACCAACTGGCATCTCATCACATTTTCACCAAACCCCCCCTTCAAAACACCTCTTAAGGTATGAGTGAAACTTGAGTCACGGTTCATTCTCAGTCCTGAGAGATCTCGTCTAAGACGGCTCTTCTATTCACGCGTACAAACAATCTTAAGCGAGGGGATTCAGACAATAAAAGCTGAATAAACATACACACGAACACACGAAGCGCTGCTATCTATTGTCTCTCCCTGTCTGATTTAATTCAGAAGATTGGTTACACCCTGCACTGTTGTTTTTCTTTCTCTGCATCTTAACATCTAAAGTGAAGCCTCCCTCTGTCTTTTTCCCCCTCGCTCCAGAGGCAAGACAAGAACACAAATTCTCTTTCTTTTTAATTCTTCAACAAAAGGCTTGTCAAATCTTGTTCCTGTCTGACTTTCTTTCCCCTGTCTGCCTTTCTGTCTGTCTGCAGTACGCAGCCTGGCTGGTCGTGTGGATGACCTGGAATGTTTTCATCATTTGTTTTTACCTGGAGGTTGGAGATCTGTCCAGAGTAAGGAAACACCATTTTTTACATCCTTGTCAGGTCGTCTTCTGTTCATGTCTGGAATGAATACCAATCTCCCTGCACAAAAACTAAAACTAGAGCGATTACGGCGCTGATGCATGTGGGGCTTTCTGGAGGAAAGCAGTTTCTCCATCGCCTCATTTACACTTTGATTCTAAGAGTTTCACATTCAAGACGGAGGAAGGAAGTGATGGATAAATCCCACGAAAAGGCCAAAAGCACTCGTGCATTGATCCTTCTAACAAGTATTGCCTTTTAGCCTCATATGTCTCACCACGATGTGCTTCAGACCTCATTTGTTGTCCGAACGCTCTTATGAGCTGCACTCTTTTAATATGGATAATCATCAGTACAGGCGTGCTATCGCCGGTCCAGTCTGGATTATTATGCAGAGTTTATATTCTCCTTTCTAAGTAGTGCTTTTGAAAATCTGCATTCCCCAGTCGCGTAGCCCCAAAAAATACTGTACTTTTAAAAGATGTTTATCTGTGAGCTGAGGAGCAACAGGGATTGGGAAATAATGAGATTTGAATTATTTAATGTTTTTGGTCTTCAGTAGGAGTTTAGTGCTTGATAGTCTTTGATGGTTTCAGAGTACACACAACTCAGGATAATTAAATTACAATAATTTATGTTAATTTATAACAATGAGTTTATAAAATAAATTAAACTGACGCTTGTCACACTGTAAGAAAGGACATGTTGAATTAACCATCATACAGGTGTGTTTTTGTGAATAATTTGGGCTACGCTAATGCAATTTGTCTCTTTTTTTACAGGATGTGTATTTTGGGGGAATTACCAAAATAACTTTTTTAAATTCCCTTACTACATTTAATATAATGCTAAAATTATTTTATAACATTCCTGCGCCTTAGTCATATTTTTGCACCATGTAAATCTATTATTATTATTATTATTATTATTATTATTATTATTATTATTATTATTATTATTATCCATCCATTTTCAGCCACTTATCCGAGGTCGGGTTGTGGGGGCAGGGAGGCTCAGACTTCCCTCTTCCCAGCCACTTGGGCCAGCTCCTCCAGGGGAATTCCAAGGTGTTCCCCGACCAGCTCAGTAAGGTAGTCCCTCTAGCGCAGGGGTGTCAAATTCCGGTCCTCGAGGGCCGGTATCCTGCATCTTTTTGCTGTTTCCCTGTTCCCACACAGTTGATTCCCAGTGCAGCAGCTCATCAAGATCCCAAGGCGTTCCCTGGCCAGGTGAGAGACATGGTCCCTCCAGCGTGTCCTGGGTCTATCTTTAAGTCTCCTCCCAGTTGGACGTGCCCAGAAAACCTCATCAGGGAGGCGTCCAGGAGGAATCCTTACCAGATGCCCGAGCCACCTCAACTGGCTCCTCTCGATGTGGAGGAGCAGCGGGTCTGCTCCGAGCCCCTCCCAAATGACCGAGTTTCTCACCTTATCTCTAAGGGAGAGCCTAGCCACTCTTCGGAGAAAACTCATTTCGGCCACTTGTATCCGCGATCTCATTCTTTCGGTCACTACCCAAAGCTCATGACCATAGGTGAGGGTATGAACATAGATCGACCGGTAAATCAAGAGCTTCGCCTTGTGACTCAGCTCTCTCCACCACGACAGACCGGTACAACGCCCGCATCACTGCAGATGCAGCACCAATCCGCCTATCGATCTCATGCTCCAGTTTTCCCTCACTCGTGAACAAGACCCTGAGAGACTTAAATTCCTCCACTTGGGGCAGCACCTCATCCCTGACCCAGAGAAGGCATTCTACCTTCTTCCAAATCAAGACCATGGTCTCAGATTTAGAGGAGCTGATTCTCATCCCAGCTGCTTCACACTCAGCTGCGAACCGCTCCAGCGAAAGCTGAAGATCATGTTCTGATGAAGCCAACAGGACCACATCATCTGCAAAAAGCAGAGACCTGATCCTCCAGCCACCAAAACGGATGCCCTCCACACCTTGGCTGCACCTAGAAATCCTGTCCATAAAGGTTACAAACAGAATCTTTGACAAAGGGCAGCCTTGGTGGAGTCCAACTCTCACTGGGAACGAGCCCGACTTACTGCCGGCAATGCAGACCAAGCTCTGACACTGGTCATACACAGACCTAACAGCCCGTATCAGAGGGCCTGGTACCCCATACTCCCGGAGTACCCCCCACAGGGCCCCCCGAGGGATGCGGTCAAACGCCTTCTCCAAATCCACAAAACACATGTAGACTGGTTGGGCAATTTCCCACGCACCCTCCAGGATCCCCCTAAGGATATAGAGCTGGTCCAGTGTTCCACGGCCAGGACAAAAACCACATTGCTCCTCCTGAATCTGAGATTCAACAATCCGACAGACCCTCCTCTCCAGAACCCCTGAATATACCTTACCAGGAAGGCTCAGGAGTGTGATCCCCCTGTAGATGGAACACACCCTGCGGTCCTCCTTTTTAAATAAGTGGATCACCACCCCGGTCTGACAGTCCAGTGGGACTGCCCCTGATGCCGCGTCAGCCAACACAGCCCCACAACATCAAGAGCCTTAAGGAACTCCGGGCGGATCTCATCCACCCCTGGAGCCTTGCCACAGGAGAGCTTTTTAACCACCTCAGTGACCTAAGCACCAGAGATTTGAGAGGCCAACCCAAAGTCCCCAGGTTCTGCTTCCTCACTGGAAGACGTGTCAGTGGGATTGAAGAGGTCTTCGAAGTATTCTGCCCACCGATCCACAACGTCCTGAGTAGAGGTCAGCAGCACACCTTCCCCACTATAGATAGTGTTGGTAGTGTACTGCTCTCACCACCAGGTAGTGGTCAGTTGACAGCTCCGCCCCTCTCTTTACCTGAATGTCCAAGACATGCGGCCGCAGGTCAGATGAAACAACAACAAAGTTGATCATCGAGCTGCGGCCTAAGGTATCCTGGTGCCAAGAGCACATATGGACACCTTTTATGTCAGAATATGGTGTTCATTATGGACAATCCATGACTGGCACAGAAGTCCAATAACAAAACACCACTCGAATTCAGATCAGGGGGCCGTTCTTCCCAACCACACCTCTCCAGGTCTCACTGTTGTTGCCCACGTAAGCGTTAAAGTCCCCCAGCAGAACGAGGGAGTCACCGGAAGGAGCACTTTCCAGCACCCCCTCCAAGGTCTCCAAAAAGGTCTCTCTAATTTCCCTCTGGGATTAATAAAGTATCTTTGATTTGATTGATTAATTGGTCAGAGTTGTAGTTTGGTGCATAAGCACAGACCACAGTCAGAACCCGTCCCCCCACATGTAGGCGGAGGGAGGCTACCCTCTCATTCACTGGGGTAAACCCCAACTTACAGGCACAAAGATGGGGGGCAACTAGTATGCCCACCCCTGCTCTGCACCTCTCAGTGGGAGCAACTCCAGAGTGGTAGAAAGTCCAACCCCTCTCAAGGAAACTGGTTCCAGAGCCAGAGACATGCATTGAGGTGAGTCCGACTATATAGTCGGAACCTCTCAACCCCACACACCAACTCAGGCTCCTTCCCCACCAGAGAGGTGACATTCCATGTGCCAAGAGCCAGCTTCTGTAGCCGAGGATCAGACCGCCAAGGTCCCCGCCCTCGACTATCACCCGTCACACACTGCACCCGACCCCTTTGGCCCCTCCCACGAATGATGAGTCCATGGGAAGGGGGAGCCACGTTTCCTCTTCGGGCTGTACCCGGCCGGGCTCCATGGGTGAAAGCCCGGCCAACAGGCGTTCGTCAATGTGCTCCACCTCCAGGTCTGGCTCCTGGGTCCCTCGCCCGGTGACCCACGTCCGGGCGAGGGAACACGGTTTCCATTTATATAATTCATCATAAGAGGTCTTCGGGCTGCTCTTTGTCTGATATCTCCCCTAGTTACCGGTCGGTAACAAGACGGCGCCTGCACTTGGCTGAGCCGCGGTCACCAGACACTTTTTCAAACTTTTCTCCACTAACCTCCTCTCTTCCACCTTGCTCCTGTCTGCGATCCTCTTCAGTAGTGTCCCTGCTACTATCTCCTATGATCGCCAGACTCTTTTTTTTCCTTCCGTTCGTTCACAATCGCCCAAGATGCATCGAGGACGTACCTCCGTTTGTTTATCTGAGTGGCGCACTGGCCCGGAGCCAAACAACGATCCTAACCAGGACGCCTCCAGCGATGTTTACCCTGTCCCGGGAAAACGTCGGAGGAAAAGAGGTAAACAAGCAGGAATCCAGGTGAGAATAAGACTTCTCTTAAAGCGTGGTTTATCTAGTAAACATCGGCGTGATCTTCTAGCTTCTTTTCCTTTGTTTGGCGACTTGAGCTTCACTTCCGCTGTCCCGCCAGGCCGCGTTGAGGCGCGGTTTCTCCGTCCCAAGTTTTTTAAGGTCGGCTTATCCTCATTCCTCAGTGGTTTCTCCTGTTCCCTCCATAAGTGGTTTTTATAAACACCGTGGATCTAACCCTGCTAATTAATGTCTACTAATTCCAGCTGTTTCTGTAGTTTCTGATTCCTCCACCTCACTCAGCATGGCTCTATGAAATACCCGCTCTGTTAACAATAAGACCTTCCTGCTCAATGATCTAAATCTCTCTAAAAACCTGGATTTTCTGTTTCTGACTGAAGTTTGGCAGCAAACATCTGATTATTCTGGTCTGATTGAACTCTGCCCGAGTGATTATTCTTTTCTTAGCCAGCCCCGGGGTTCTGGTCATGGTGGAGGCCTAGCTGTTGTTTTTAGAGACCATCTTCCATGTAGCTCTACAACCTCTGGTCACTTTGCTTCCTTTGAACTGCTGCTGATTAAAGTCGGGCATAAGGACCCGTTCTGCTGTGCTGTGGTCTATCGTCCACCTGGTCCAAACAGTTCTTTCCTTCAGGAGTTTAGTGACTTTCTATCCTCCACTGTGAAGCTGTCCAGACTGGTGATTGTTGGTGACTTCAACATCCACGTTGATGATCCCTCTGATCACTTTGCCAGGAAATTCTCCAGCCTTATGGACTCCTTCATCTTTACCCA